GGAGTGCTCTTCCCAGGGTCTTCTTGACCTCATTGTGGTTTGAATGCTCACACTTAGGCAGATGGAGGTCCCCATCCTTGGGTGGCCACCCCAGAATGGAGAGGCAAACTGAACATAAGCAAGTGTTAGTGGTCAGATGTGTTCTCTTATTTTGGCATCACAGAAAACAGTTGAAAAGAGAAAATGTATTTTTGGCTCATAGTTTCAGACCAGGCAAGGTGCAGTGAACATAATGATGGGATTTAATAGAAGATCAAAGGGGCTTGCTTACTTCTTGGTAGGTAGTCAGGAATGGGGGGTAGTGGGGGAGATAGAAATGGGGAGAGAAAATGAACCAGAGGTCATGCCAGGGGTCCCAGAGATAACATGTGTCTTTGACTTTCCAGGACAAACTCCCAGTCCCCCTATTTTCCCACCAATGCTCCTTCTAGCTCCTTCCAGTGACGTCATCCATTTTTGAATTCATTACTATATTAATCCATTGATCAGGTCAGAGCCCTCACAGTCTAGTTACCTCTCAGTGATTGACTCTAGCAGCCGGGGGCCAAGCCAGGAGCCTTTTTCAGGGGATGCTTTGTATCTAGACCATAACATTGGTTTAAGGCCTCATTGGACAGCATCCTGAGGACCTCAGGGACCAGCAGGGTCTGGACTGGGTAGTGTGTCCAGTGGAAGAAAAGGCCAATGCAGAGCCTGTGGGACGCTGAGCATCTGGTGCCTTGTTGTTTGCTTGTGCACTCTTGGGACCCTTGTGGACTTTTCTCTCCCTGCTAGGATCCTGGCCTCAGCACGCCCTCCCCCTCCCTTATCTTGGGAGGGGATAACCTGTACTCGCCAGGGATCCTGCCCTGTGCACAGCTCCTACTCCATGACTTTGTTGGGTGACTCTCCCCACCATCTTAACTGTGGTTGGAGGAAGTGCTACAGGGAAGTTCTGAAGGGAGTACCACGCTATTACCAAGCACTGGAGCACCCAGCAAGTCTTGGTCAGCACTTTTGCAAACCTCTGCATTCTGTTTCCTTAGCTCCCAGAGATGTGGGATGGACTGGAGTCTGAAGGCCTCTGGCCCTTCAAGTGAAGTTCCTAAGCTCCCAATCTTCCTGCCCCTGATGATGTCTCTGTGCCTTTCATAGGTTCCTTCCCAGGGCTCCTGCTGGCCCCACTGACTACCACAACTGAGCTCTTGGGGCTTTGTTCCAGTTTTCTTCTGTCAGCCCATTGACCTTTAGTGCCTGGGAGACAGCATCACAGAGCCTGGCTTCAGACAAAGCTCTGGAGGTCCCTTTAGGAGTTTAAATTGTTGGTTCCCAAGAGGTAACTCTGTGACCCTTTGAAAGGGATTTCCAAGTTTGGTGTCTTCTTGCAGGAACTAGTCCTAGATAAGGTAGTTGACCACCCCTGGTCTGGTTGGGTTGACTGCTCAGTGTCTGGGATAGTAGTCATTTTCTTGCTCATACTTACATATAGATGAGTGCCTGCTAACATCCACACTTTCTGACTTTTCATAATCCAGTCAATCCTTTCCCTATGGCTCTGCTGCTGGAGGGAACAGCTGTTTAGGGATGGCCAGTGCCCGCTTGGGCTGTTGGAGCTGCCTGGCCTGTTTCTGGCATGTGACCTGTCTCTCACCCAACTGATAAGGATTCAGGCCTTTCTGGTTTGGGCCACCATGTGATGGGTAAAGCACTTTGCATGCTGCTTTTCAGGTTCTTATTGTGGTTTGTATGTGTGTGTATGTGTGTGTGTATATGTGTGTGTGTGTGTGTGTGTGTGTGTGTGTGTGTGTGTGTACTTGCACGCAGACATGCATTCATGCTCTTGAACTTTAGTGCTGTGACTGAAGCAGGGAAGGTCCCCTCACTGCATCTCCTGAAGAGGAAAGTGCTGTGGAAGTCAGTGGATAGCACTTGACCTCAGTGACCTGGGCTCCTGGTGTACCTGGACACATGAGACAATTCACTTCCTCCACTGTCAGCCCCTTAGCTGCTCCTCAGCATTTTAAAAGTGTACTGAGGAGCAGTTGGCTGCTTCTTCCTCTAAGAAGTTCACGTGCAGGAATTTTTAGTGGCAGATCGCCCCTCAAAAACACACTGAGCTCTTTATCCTCCAGGAAATTCCTGTTGTAAAAGCTGTGGTAACCTCCTCTAACCCTCCTGATGCTCTGTTGCAAATGTGTCTCTGCTTCTGTATTTTAACTTTTGTGGGTGTCAGAACCGGATCCCTACTTGGGATCTATGCTGAGTGGATTGGGCACATTGGACACTGGGGTTAACCACACTCTGTGGGTGACTTACGCTACTGGGGAGTTAGCTGTCTTCCTGGGGCTGAGCTCTGCTCCCAGGATGCAAGCCAGGTTGGGGGAGGGGGTCCACTTCTGGAGTGCCACGTATTGCCAGAAGATGGCATGGTGCCTATCTTGTTTGGAATTAGTTGTGGCTCAGAGTATTCAAAGGAGCTTGGGTCTAGTGTCCACTGAGAGTCTGACCCAATCCAAGTGTTGCTTGTTGCTGAGACAGGGTCTTACTATGTAGCCCTGGGTGGCCTGGAACTTACTGTGTAGACCAGGCTGGCCTCAAACTCACAGAGATCCATCACCCTCCGCCTCCCCAGTGGTGGGGTTAAAGGTATATGCCACCACACATGGTCTTATCCAGTTAAAAAGATTTTGTTTTTTTAAAGATAGAGTTGGCCCATGTAGCCCAGGTTGGCTTTGAAATCCTTCCTCAGCCTCCTAAGAGTGTTGGGAGCCACTGTGCCTGGCCCAGTTTGTGTTCTGGGTACAGATAATTTTCACCAAGGAAGGTGTTACTGGCAAGAAGCATTATGCCCCTGCAAGTCTTGACCTCACTCACCTGGCAAATGACGTCAAAACCCTAGCCCTCTAGCCCTGTGTGTGAGTCACATTCTCTGTGGTTCTCAGGTGACCCAGGTGGCCACTGAAGTCACCTTACCTCCCTGGGGAGAGGGAGTGGAGATTGGAAGGGAGGAGAAGAGGCAGATGGCAAATGCAGCTGCTTCCCTGAGGGTACTGAGGATCAGCTACTCACTGTGCCTCCAGAGGCGCTCTCCAAAGTGTCTGTGCAGGCCGTAAAGTTTACTTTTCAGCTTGAAAAGGGAATGAGAGTATCTTTTATTTTCTAGTTGGAAGATAAAGAAAAGATTTTTTTTTTTTTTAGAGAGAAGATTGTTGTTTTTTTTTTTCTGCGAAAACTATACTTGATTGAAAGCCAGTGTGGGTTGTGCATTCCACAACACTGTGAGAGAGTATAGTCTGGAGATGCTGGCACTGGCCTCCCAAACTGCCAATCCCAGAGAAAGGAGAAAGGGCCCACATGAAGAGAGATGTGGCTAGATGGATCTGGGTCCACCGGTATATCTCTACTAGTGGAGCGGACCCTTCTCTGCTGTCTTATGGGCGGGTCCTCCCCTAAGGTTGGTTGTCACACCCCCAGAAGGAGCATTGTGTTCTTCACATTGGGTTTATGTAGTGGGGTGGTTACAGGCGTGTTGACCTTCTATTAGATCATACACCTACTTGGTCCAGCACAGCCCTGGTGCAGGGCTGTTGTCCTAGGATAAGTTAATCATCCACAACATTCCTGCCTTAGTTTGGTGAGTAAGTTAGGTGACCCCCTCTCTCTCTCTTTCTCTTTTGTTTTTGTTTTTTCGTGACAGGGTTTCTTTGTGGCTTTGGAGGCTGTCCTGGAACTCGCTCTTGTAGACCAGGTTGGTCTCAAACTCACAGAGATCTGCCTGCCTCTATCTCCCAAGTGCTGGGATTAAAGGTGTGTGTCACCACCGACTGGCTAGGTGACCCTCTCTTAGACGGAGAGTGGGCCCAGAATATTGTGGTCCCCTGCCCCCAACTTTGCCAAGAGTTGCTTGTGACCACATAGGGACCCCCTGGCCATGCTGCAGATTTGTGGTAGATCTCATTGCCTTGTTGGAGAAGTCACCTCCCCATGTGTCCCCAGCAGTATTAGAGGCAGGATTGGGCGTCCTAGCTCCTCAGTACACTAGCCTACTGCAGTCTCCTGAGTAGGCAGGTGGGGTTTAGGGTGGCCTGACCCTCATTGTCACTGCTGTGGTAACAATTCTGCTCCTGCGTCTTGTGTCCTTTCCCTTGATGGGACCTCTCTCACTCTGGGGACCCTATGATGCTGTCTCACATTGCACCTCTGAAATCACATGTGTATGGCTTGGTGCTGTACACAAGTGCCTGAAGAACATTCTGGTTGCTATTTGGTTTACGAAACATATCATAGGGACAGAGAGTCAGAAGGCGGGCAGACCCTGCTTCCAGCTATTTGAGAGAAAAGTCCAAGAAAAAGTCCCAGACCAAACTGCCCAGAGCAGCAGGATCAGGGGTGAGGGTGAAGGAAGCAGCAGCTGGTTTGGGTTGAGGACAGAGTGGAGCTGGTCCCTCATGGCTGAGGTGCAGGATAGCATTCCAATGGCCCAACAGCCTTTCCTCCACATGTCCAGCACCCTGCTTGTGTTTAGGGCCTGGCTGACTGCTGATGTGGCCTGACATCTATGCGCTGGTATGTGGTGACACTTTGTACCTGTGATGATAAGCCTTAGAAACTGCCTCTCTCTGAAGTGCATCACTGCCCTGGCTGCTCCCATCCCAGTGTTTACTGCAATAGCATCAACCCTGTAAAGTGTCTCCTACTCACGCAGGGAGGGCTCCGTGTCTGGGACTCCTGTCCCTATCTTGTGCCAAGCAAGCTTCAAGCCCTTTAGCCTTGGAGCGTCTGACCTGTTTTTGTTTGTTTGTTTTTCAAGACAGGGTTTCTCTGTGGCTTTGGAGGCTGTCCTGGAACTAGCTCTTGTAGACCAGGCTGGTCTCGAACTCACAGAGATCCACCTGCCTCTGAGTGTTGGGATTAAAGGCGTGCACCACCACCGCCTGGTGTCTGACCTGTTTTTACAGATGTTTTCTGGCTGCCTGTGTTTGTCCCCACTCTTGTCAGCTAACTAAATTTGTCCTCTCTAGGTGAAGTCAAAGCAGGCAAGCTAGAGATTTGCATGGAGGACTCAGAGATGGCTATCTCTGTTTCAGGCTTTTGTCTAGCATCTCATCAGGTGAGATTTGAAGCTGGAGTTTCTGAAATGGCAGTTGATGGACATCTGAGTTAGATGGGTAAGTCTACCAGTGCCAAGGGTGGATAAGAGAGGGAAGCCAGCTGCGTCTGGAGGTGTTGTCATGAGGGATGTCTCTTGCTAAGTCTGTCAGCGTAAATGGCTCTGTTGGTACCTTGACAGCTAATATGTAGCACTGGAATGAACGCCATCCACACTTCTGTGAGCTAGGCTTTATCCAGCCCACCTTAGCAGGAGCATTCCTTGGGTCTGGAGGCAGGGTTGTCAGCAGGGCTAGGTTCTGATGTCCCCATCTGACCAAATAGAGGCTGGTTCTCCCAGGTTTGACACCACCATCCTCAGGCCTTGTTACCAGCCTACTCTTTAAGTATGGTTACATACTACAAGGACTTCAGCACCTGAACTAGGAGATACAGTTCAGCCTGGAACTCTGTTTAGACATTGTTCAGACAGGGAGTGAATTTCAAAGCAGACTCTTCATTTGCTTTCTGCATTACCAAATCAATTATAGCACTTTTCTACAAAATCTGGGAAAACAGCATGGAATAGACATAGTGTGGGCTTTTTTGTTTGTTTGTTTTTGTTTTTAATAGTGTAAAAAGAAGATTTTCCTATTATTACATGTAATCTGATGACTTGATGTCTGTCTTCCTAAGGGTCTGGCAGGGCAGAGGGAGTTGCGATAAGACAGTAATGTAACACCTTGTTTTGATCCAGATGTACAGCATCTGGCTTATTGACCAGACAGATGTTGCTAGTTACGTCACAAAGTGGATTAGGCCTGCCTGCTTAGTGAAGATAGAGCCATGGCCAATCGACCAGTAGGAACCATGGCTCTAGTAAGTGGATTCTACCTCTTTCATTGTCAGGCTGACACTTTTTACTGGAGCAGATTTAGGATTGGTTGCTGGGAGGTGGGCAGAAGTGAAGGAGTCAGCTTGGGGGCAGGGGCTCTACTATCTGCACAGCTATTTCTGGTAGCAGAATCCTAACATACCCTCATACTATGGCCCTGGGCTGCTCACAGACAGCTGTAAGTCCCCAAACAAGTCTTCTTAGTGTGTTTAAAGAACCAGCATCTGGTCTGTCCTTTGGAGACCATTATATCAGAATCTGTCATCAGTCGTGGCTCTTCATCCAGTCAGGTTACCTGGCCTGCATGGTTGTGAATTCTGGAGACTTTTCGACCATTTGACTGAAAATTAAGCAAGAGAGAGTCTGCCTTTATTTTTTTCCAGTTGAACTTTTTATTAATTCTTTGTGGATTTCACATCATGCATCTCAATCCCATTCATCTCCCCATCCCTTCCCATCTGCCTTCTACCCTTGCAACTCTTGAGCTCCCAGGATAAAACAAGATAAAATTTAGAAGAAAAGAGAAAAAGATGAAAAGAAAAGAAAAATCTCATTGTGGACACTGTAGTGTGACACAGTGAGGCGTGCAGTCCTTTAGTCCATATAGTATTACTTTCAAGGAGCGTTGAGTTGTTCTGGCTTGAGATCTCTGGTTTTGCTCTATCATTGATACTGGGCCCTCACTGGGGATCCTCCTAGATATCCTGTTGTTGTCCTGTGTCATGGGGATCCTGTAATTTGGGGTCTGCAGGACCATCCCCTTCACATGCTCCAGCAGATTATAGATGGGTTAGATATTGGGATGAGCCAACTCAGCTCTAATTCTGGGACTGGGTAGTTGCATCCTTAACACCAGGGTGAGCTCTCCAGCACTGCCCTGGCTAGCTTACCCTGTGTAGTAAGCAGCAAGGGGCAGAACCAATTCTCCTGTCCTCACGTCCTCAGGTGGGCTTGCCCACACCTACACCACCAGGACCGGCTCTACTGTGTTGCCTGGCCAAGGTGTAGGGGCCACTCTGCCTAGTGTTGCTCTGGTGAAAGGCATGCCAGCCTCAGGAGAGGCTGTCATAAGGAGAAATCCCACCCAGCTTTGGCACTGAACCCCATACCTAGAGGCATCATGTGCTGCCCCAAGGCACCTGGAACTTTTACAAAGTGTGAACCAAGGCCAGAGCAAGAAACTTCCATAGATATTAGGCCCCAGTGGAGCAGGAGAGGGTCTGAGTGGGCTTGTTGTCTCTCCACCCAGATCTGTGACCTCCTCCCTCCATGGACCTTCCCACTGCCTGGGAGGAGGAAGTACCTTAACAGTTAAATATCCTGTGCTCAGGGAAAGAGGATTTCCCCAGCCTATTTTCAGCAGGGGATTAGGGACAGCAAACTTGTGCTGTGAGGATTTCATCTAGGTTTTGTGTAGTTTTTCAAGGTCTCAGAGATCAGCTGGACTTGAAGGTGGAAATGACAGGAGGGTCATTGGTGTGGACATCTGTGACTTGAGGTCAAGTCTCACTTTCATTTGTCACTTTCAGATAAAAATGTTTTGCATATAGAATCACCGTTTTGGACACTGTTCGGATAAATATGAACCATCAGAGTAGCACGAGTTTCCAGTAATGATCAACTTGGGTACAAATTGGTGAAGTATTGTGTGTGTAAAGAAGGCTGCTGTGGTGGTCAGAGACCTTTGGTGATCGTTCCTGATCAATTAATCTCACCCTTCCTTGGATGCAGAATACAAATAAAGCGTTATTGGAGAGTCTCTGCAGGTACCCTGGGAACTTCCCACACAGAAACCTACCTGCACAAGTCAGCCTTGACATTTGGTGGTTCTCCAGCAGTCACCAAGTGCGTGCCATGTGCACTGCGTGTGCAGTGGAACCAACTGGAGACTGGTTACCACACAGACAAGAACTGAGTGAACACATGGTGTGCAGGGTTAGAAGGAGGGGTGGTGAGGTAGGAGTCCTAAAAGGGTCTGGGCCCATGGCCTTGTAGCCAGCCTGTGCACCATCAAGCTGAGGACACCTGGCTGCTGTAGTATGGAGCTAAATAGACACAAGAACGACCCCTGACTTGTCTGCCTTGGAGTTTTGTGTCTTAAAATAGGTAATAGTGCATTGCACTTTGAGAAAGGTTTGTTTGCTGTTTTTAAAGCCTGAATCTGGCTTTGTAGCCCAGGTTTCAGCTCCCCGAGTGTTGGGATTACCAGGGTGCACTGCCATGCCCAGCTTTTTATGAAAGCTTTTAATTCTGTCTTGAAAGAATATGACCAAAGAAATAAAATTACATAATAGGAAAAAAATCAGAATAATTTTAAAAATTGAATCATTGTTAACATTTTAGAGGGCACAGTGTGATATTTTAGTGTTTGCAGAGGGGTGTGACGGTGGCTCAAGTGAGTGACATGTCTACATACACTCCTTCTTTATGTTGGGATTGAGCAGCATCTACACTAACTTTGCTGGTTATTTTGAAATATTTCCCAGACTGTTGTCAATTCCAGTCACCCCTCTGCTTCCTGTCCCTAGCCTCTGTGCCTTTCCCTGCACTGTCTCCAAACTCTTCTAGGCTCAGTCACTGCTGTTCTGTTCTTTCTTTGAGATCAGTATCAGATTCCACATAAAAGTGGGAACACACAGTGTTTGTCCTTTTGTGCCTGGCCTGCTTTGCTTAAGGAGTGATTTTTCTTCAAATGTGTACACATATATATGTGTGTACTTGTACCTGTGTGTAAGTGCAGGTATGTGCCATACCACACATGTGGGGGTCAGAGGACAACTTTTGCCAATCAGTTCTCCCATCATGTTGGTCCTAGGGACCAAACTTGCAACATCAGGCTTCTGTAACATGAACCCTTACCTGATAAGCTGTCTTGTCAGCCCAAAGGGATAACTTTTTAATAGTACATAATTTCTATAGCCATGTTGATTTGTTGAATATGAATAATCTTTATTGTAGTAAAATGGTACTCACCATGCTAAATTTACATTTAATTGTAATTTCCGTGGTGTCAGACAACACTGTTTTGCCACTACCAACACAATCCATTTCCAGAACTTATTCCAAATGAAGCTGATTCGTAGGCAGTTTTAAATATGACATTTATTTTACATTTGTTATTGTATACCTTGCTTTTTGAGGAAACACTTTTTTTTTTTTTAATCTATAAAAAGCAAAAAGATGTCTGGGCATAGTGACAGAGGCAAGTGGATCTCTGTGAGTTCAAAACCAGCCTGACCTATATATTGAGTTCCACACCAGCTAGAGTTACGCAGTGAGATACTGTCTCAAAGAAACAAGACAAACCCAAACAAACAAAACCAAAAAAAAAGAACTAATATGATGATGGGAAGACTGAAACTGGAACACCAATTAAATTTTCATGGAGAATGTACCTGGGTAGGGTTTTCCCTTTTAGGTTGTTATTGGCATTGTTCTGAGCCAGGCAGGGTAAAAATGCAGAGGCAGCCTTATACACTGCTCACTTAGGCTGAGGGTAGTGAACGGAGATTGCTCTAGGAAGGGACTTGTGATAACTTGGGTAGCTCAGGAGCAGAGGTGGCTGTGATGGCCTTGCTACGCATGAGGTCCCCGTGTTTCTTCTAAGTACACTCATAGCAGTTGGAGCCTTGGTATCTGTGTGATAATCTTTTCTAGTCTCTTTTGGCTTTGACTCGAAGACTTTTATTTTCTTTTAATCTGGGATGTTGAATCTTTTGCTACAAAGAAGCAGTAAGAAATGCATTCACTACATTTAAAATTACATTTTTCAGTAAAATTGTTGGTTCTGTGAGAACAGTATCAGTCTGCTTTGAGATTTCTGTTTTGTTTTTTCCTGTCTCTGTAATTGAAATGACTTTTCTCTGTTCCATAACTTTGTTGCTTTTCAAGGGAAGGTATTTAAAAAGTTCTAAGTTCTCTTGTTCCTAGTAAGTTTTTTTTTTTTTTTTTTTTTTTTTTTTTTTTGTGTGTGTGTGTGTGTGTGTGTGTGTGTAAAAGTAAGAGACTTAATTATAACAATCGGGTTAGATACCACATGGCAGTAAGTTTTTCACCTTGTAGTTCAGAAGTGAATTGAGTCTGGTGGGCACTTTCCCTAGTAGCCAAGAAGACAGCAACACCCATAT